GGCAGATCACGCGGGTGGTGGACCGCCTGCTTCGCGCGGCCGTCCGCGGGGACTACCGAAGCCGCGTCGGGGGGCTGGCGTTTTCGCTCTTGACGATCCTCCTGCACGTGCTGCGGCTGCGGGCGGTGCGGCATTTGAGCCTGGCGGCGGCGGCGCTGGAGGGGCGGCTCGACCCCCCGCCCTCCGGCCTCCCTGAGAACGCCCGCCTGGCCGGGGAGACCCTCCGAAGCGGGGAAGCCATGGCGGGGGTGTTGAGGCGTCTAAAACCCGCCTCGCGCGAATGGCTCGCGCTGGGCCCGACCCTTCTTTGGGGGGGGCTGTCTATGGTCGAAGTCGCCGCGACCACAACGGATGTCATGATCCGCTGCCAATTAATCGGCCTCGCATTGGTGGTGTTTAAGGCTTGGCAGGCCATCACGGAGGATCCGCGTACCGCGCCGCACTGCGCGCTGGAGGTTTTAGACCAGCTTCGCGCGGAGGTCTTCGAGAAGGCGAACGCAGGGGAGCAGGCCGCCGCGATCGAGGAGATCCTCGAGGAGATTGAAGAACGGTATGACGCGGCGGGGGAGGCGCCGTGCGTGGATTTTGATCCCGCGGAGCTGGCGAATTTCCCGCCCTATATCGGTTATGTGGGTCGCTGGCTGTGGAGCATGGCGGCGGTGGATCAGCTGTACGAACACAGGAAGCAACAGCTTCAACACTTGAGCAACGATATCAGGCCTTGTCTAAACAACTTTGATTGATTTTGGTCATTTGCCTTTTATTATTATTATTTTTATTCAATAATAAATTATTTATTTACTGAGCTCAGAACAGCATTGATGCTCCTGATTGGAGTCTCTGTGCGTATCAAGCATGCATATTCAGAATCATAGGTGTTTTCAATACACTTCAGAAGTTTTTTCCTATTGGTTGAATTACCAATACTGCTATAATTTATCAAAATCTATTTAAACCACTAATAGTGATATTCCTTTTTAATGAATATTTTTATTTCCACATTTATCTTAAATTTTATATTTTCCCCCCTACCTTTCCACTGGGTGCAAGTTCTTTTCACAGAATGAAAAGACTTCACTAGTCACCACGTAATGCAGACTCTTATTTTGTTATTAATATTAATTTTTTACTAAACACCTAGTTGTTCTTGTATATATCTAGGCAACTTAAGCGTGATTGGGAAAATAACAGGCTATTCGCCTTATTATGTTTGTTAATTTACATTCAGACAAGTTATGTTGTAAATAGGATTTCCTCTGTTCGTTTCGATAAGTTTCGTATCTTTTGATAGTACGTTGGCTATATGAGTAATGTTTTTTCTTCGCATCATCTTTGAATATCATTTCTTTACTATATTGATTATTGAATAAGAAAGCATCTTTTCACGATTAGTTTACTACTCTCTGCCTCGAATATATAAATAAATAAATAAATATATAACGCCATGACTGAAGTTGACTGCAAAACCTACAGCGACGACGTGTGTTTCGGGAAGGATGCGCCTTCGATCGATTTGTTAGAGCCGATCAAAGGTGATAAAGTTTCCATCGCCGGAAATGAGGTCTGCGTGCTGTACTTCTTCAACACCTTCTATCGTGGTGCGGATATCTGCAATAACGAGTTCACCCAATTTTCGGAGAAGTTTGCGGATAAAGCGACGATCATTGCCATCAGCACCGATGCCGACAGGGCCAAAACGGAGAAATACCTTGGAAAGGATATCGTTGATGAGAACACCAAGAAGCCTCTGCGCCTGGATCCACCCCACATCGTTTTTGACAACCGTAAAGAGGTCAGCAAAGAGTTTGCCGGGGTCTCAGGCCTTTCGGTGATGTCCTGTCCGATGGGCTTTATTGTCAAAGACAAGAAGATTGTATGGCGTCAGCAATTTCTTCAGTCCTTTACATTCAACCAGTCTAACTTTGAAGCGCAGTTCAATCATATTCTTGCAGGGGAGAAGCTTGAATCGAACGGACCACGTCCGAAGGTTGTGGTGGAGGAAGAAGAGGCGGAGGGTATGGATGGGGATATTTCACTTTTTTGAGCCATAAATATTTCAAACTGAAATGAAGATGAGAAATATAGATACTCTGTGGTAAAATGTCCATAATAACAAGTATCTTTAAAAATCCCATAAGATATTCTATAAAAATAAAGAAATACCAATAAAGAGTTTTCGAAAGAAAATTAGTAGAGACCACCTGAGCTGAAACCATATTTCGAATTAGGGCATGCTGATAATATCACAGGTGAATTATTATATTTGTCTCATTTCTTATAGATAGCATTTTCTTGTTTACCGGTGATTTGACAGCGTGAATGCGCCATGTTTGCCAGTTGGGATGTATTTATAATCTTTGTCTTTCATTTAACCTTCTTAATTTCACTACATGAACATAGTCAAAAATCACACGAAGGAAAGTGTAGAGAGGGATAAATAGAAAGGTAAATCAATCCTCGAGCGAATTCTTAATGTCCGCTTCGCCATTAAACGATGATAATAGCATAGAATTCAGCGAAATTCTTCCGGAAAATAGCTTGATACACACTAAGCTGAAAGATATCCATCTGCTGCTCTGCAAGCCCAAAATTCTTCCCGTAAAATCCTACTCCCTGGAAAAGCTTGAAATGTTAGAAAAAAAGCTATCCGAAGAGTCAAAGCAGCGTAGACAACTGATGCATGAGCAAAAGGAAGCATCCGCTTGGAAGAGTGACGAATCGCCTCCCATTCCAAAAACCACCTCGGATGCTCCAATAATACCACCACCACAAAAATAAGTCCCCAATTTTGCAGGTGAATCTGTAGCCATGTATGAAAACGGATACCAAGAAATGAACTTTATTTGGGGAAGAAAGCCAATGATATAAATTGTAGAATTACTTGGGGAATAAATTTTATTTGATGAGGAGTAGTAGTCACGAGTTGGTAATGCACTTGGAAAGCTACACAGAAAGAATGTGCAATGGTTTATTTATCATTTTCCTCCTAACAGTTTGGGTTTCAGAGAAGAACGCCAATCACCATAATCAGAAGGACTTTCTCTTTTGTTATACTGCCAAAAGGGTTCAGATGTAAGCTTCGACATAATAAGCGTTAAGGTTCTTTGCAATGAGCGGGATGTGGGTAGCCTTAGTTTGTTTAAAGTTATCCGTCAAAGTATTCGCTAATTCTGCACATCAACGCTGACCGTGATTTCCAAACCTCAGCCATTATCTCTACCAATGCATAGGAGGCGTATCTCCTGGCCTAAAAACTCACCATGTGGGTGGCGAAGATCAGCTTAAGATGCATTTCCCTGGTGTTCGACATCTCCGAGAAGTTGTTCAGCTGTAATAATAGTAAAAAGGGACAGAATGCTTCTGTGGCGAAGGAAGCAAATTAAATATATATACTACTCACAAAAGCAGACGTCAATATCCACCATCAAGGAGGTAGGGTCCATTTTTTTTTTTTTTGCAGACAAGATTGAAAATAGCAGACTTATTACATTGACAGGTGATAAAGAGCAATATAACCTAATTTGATCTGGCAATTTTACCTAATTATTTAACATATATTATTATGCTATATTATTTATATATTTGAGCTTCTATACGTTTTTTGAATTTCCGTAACCTGTAAGACCTTACAATTAACTTCAATAAATTTGTTGTCTTTACATTTTTGCCAAAACAGTTCTAGGAAGTCATTTTAATTATAATTTTTTTCCTTTCTTCCATCTCGTGTGTAACGGCTGAACATTTAAGCCACCGGGTATTTGGGTGTTTAGTGTTGCGACTCGGGATCTCCATTTTTATTCGCCTTCTTCCGAATTATATA